CGAACCAGAAAGTGTTGTTATCTAAACTCTGGCTCTTACCTTTCCAGTGAGGTGGACAAGGTTCTGTCTGGCTTGGAGATCCTCTCCAAGGTGTTTGACCAGCAGAGCTCTCCCATGGTCTCCCGGATCTTGCAGCAGGTGAGTGTCATCGGCGGACGTGTAGAAGGCAGCCGGCGTGATCAAAGGGGTTGGACTGTCTTCCCTACAAGGAAATGCTGGTGTGTTTTCTAGCTTAGAGACAAGATAATGGCCCAGAGGGGGCATTATAGAAGGTTTTAAATGATGAATGTGGTGGAGAAAGTGGAATTTGGTGGCACCCAATTATAAGAACATAAGAACATAACATAAGAACATAAGAGACGCCGATGTTGGATCAGGCCAAAGGCCCATCCAGTCCAACACTCTGAGTCACACAGTGGCTATAAATACCAGGGGCCATCAGGAGGTCCAGCAGTGGGGCCACGACATTAGAAGCCCTCCCACTGTTGACCCCCCCCAAGCACCAAGAAGACAGAGCATCACTTGCCCCAGAGCCCCTAGCTATACCTTGTGGCTAATAGCCACTGATGGACCTCTGCTCCATATAAGAACGTAAGAGACGCCAATGTTGGATCAGGCCAATGGCCCATCCAGTCCAACACTCTGTGTCACGCAGTGGCCAGAAATACCAGGGGCCATCAGGAGGTCCAGCAGTGGGGCCGGGACATTAGAAGCCCTCCCACTGTTACCCCCCCCCAAGCACCAAGAAGACAGAGCATCACTTGCCCCAGAGCCCCTATCTATACATTGTGGCTAAGAGCCACTGATGGACCTCTGCTCCATATAAGAACAGAAGAGAAGCCAATGTCGCATCAGGCCAATGGCCCATCCAGTCCAACACTCTGTGTCACACAGTGGCCAGAAATACCAGGGGCCCTCAGGAGGTCCAGCAGTGGGGCCAGGACATTAGAAGCCCTCCCACTGTTGCCCCCCCTCCAAGCACCAAGAATACAGAGCATCCCTCGCCCCAGACCAAGA